ACTGGTAACCATTAAATTAACAAGCAATTGCTGAAGAAATTGATCTGAATCACACAAAGTCTTGTATTTCTGAATGAATTCATGTATTTACTTGTGTCTTTTAATTGATCAAACACATCTGAGCACTGAAATCTTTCTTATCTGATGTGTCTTCCTCGAGCCGATGCTCGGCAGGAAGGCCAGTGGTGATGTGGCCGTGGATGATGCATTGGGAAAAGAAGGGGAGGATGCGGGGCGTGTTGGGACCTGTGTCCTAACGGAGAGAGGCTAATAGCTGGGAAGAGCAGCTTCTGACAAGCCGCCATGCAGTGCATGCTCGAGCCCGCATCCACCGCATCACACACCCTCCCACCCCTGACACATACTGTACGCACACACACATATACACATAAACTGAAGTCTGAGTGTATGGAAAGAGGTCTTATTATTTGACAAGACCGGGGTGTTAGATCTCATTTCCAGCCGCAGCTACGCTTGCCTGCATCCAAGCCAAGGAATCATCTTCAAGAGGCAGGAGAGCATCAGAGTTTCAGAGCTATTATCACTAATGCACAGTGTCTTGATGAGACAGGAGGGGGACTGGAGGATTGCCAGACTAGCTTAACATGGGCTTGGATGGACTTACTGTATGTGGAAACATTAAGATAGATGAGAAAAAAAGGATTGTGTCTTCTGTTCCTATCTCTTCTCTTGGTCTTTGTTCTCTTCTTTCTCCTTTTGAATGGTGAAGCCAACATGGACTGGCTTGGTGGCCAGCTGCATGCAGCCACAAACCTCCCGTCAATCATCCAGTTGACAACTTGAGAAGAGGGGATTTAATGACAAATACTTGATGCAATAGGCAGCTGCATTTCTCGTAATCTCCCCAAACACTGCATGCCACCCGCTCTTAGTGGGAAGCAGAGGGGTGGGGACGAGGGGCGGCAAGGTAACTGATTATAGTCAATATGCCCCTATGGCATTCGGCATTCCCCATTGCCTGAGGCCGTACGAAATCAGCAAGAAACCCAGAGACCGTTAACTCCCTCATTCAAACAAGGTGACTCAGTCTGGTCCTCATAGCCATCCTCTTATTTCCCAAGCATGTTCAAACCTAGGCCTTGCACTGAATTTTGCATAAATACACACACCCACATGTGCATGCACATTAGACACACAAATCTTTGTGCATCCCTAGTGTTATTTTTGGGAAATCCCCTCCCATTAGTAAGAACAAGTTCATTCTGAGAGGCTGGACCGTAATCTCTTTTCTTTTCAAAGAGAAAACACTTCTAAAAAGACTCGCCGAAATGATGTGGTCTGAAAAACCTTTATGTACATTTGTATTTTCTTTGACACATGAATAAACTCCTGCATGCTTTCATTTTTATTTGGATGTTTTTAAAGGGAACAATTGCATGTAGATACAAGGTATGAAGAATACTAACATCTGTGAGACCTCATGTAAGGCCATCAGTGGTATAATATTCTACAGGATTGCATATGATCATTACACTTCAAATTTTCAATAGATATCGTGATAATATTGTTACTGTGAGCTCTAACTCGTGTAGTGAACATCTGATATTGTGCCAGCCCTATGTCAAATGAAGCAGTAGGATATGGAAGTCTAATTGAGACCAAAAAACAATTTTTTTTTCTGAATTAATGAGATTATTACTTCAGAGTTCTGAGAAAAGTTTTTATGAAAAAAAATTGCTCTTGTTTTTTTGAATTAACCAGATAATAATCTTGTTAATTCCGAAAAACATGGGAATTTCTTTCTCAAGTAAATTGCATTACGAAGTTGCATTAAAAGTTCACAATAATAATATTATCCCTATATCTATATAAAAATTGAAAAATAACAAATATTACAATGCTATCAGTCAAATTAATCTATATCTTTGTTTTTGTGTGTTTTGTCTCTTTCTTGGCAAATGAGTTGTACTCAATAATACCTCAGAAACTGTTTAAATTTCTAGTTGTGTTTTCACTATCCATTAAGTGTATTTGCTCTTTTTTTAAACTTTTGTACAGTTATAGTTACACACTCTCTCCAACTGCCTAAACTCATATTTTCATATGATATCACTACTTTATTTTTAAACATCACGATTATCATCGGTAGCGGTTTATTGCTAAACCTCTAATATCACACATTAAAAAAAAATTGTGGTTCCGTAGCTACTGTATAATAACACTTAAATGCATCTTCTAATACTTCGCCAATCTCATAATCAGACCTGCAAGATAAAAACAAAGCATTACAGTAAACTCCATAAACGCTGTGAGCAATCACCTGGCCTCTCTCTCTCATTCTAATCCCTCCTTAATGGCAGCAGAGGAATCTGAATAATCACAGGTTTCTTCGCAATCCTTTTTCTGCTGCGTCATCACCTGTATCTTAAGTCGTGTGCCAGTAAAAAAAACAACTCCTTTGTCCCTCCTCTCCTGGTAATGAAAAAAAAAAACCTGCTATGACTTGAATTGTTCAGACAGGAGGATTCAAAGCCGCCTTCTTTGTTCATAAAATAAGGATCATTTTCAAATTATTATTTATGTAAACCAAAGTAAATAAGGAAGGCTTATTTGGTTGCAGTGGGGTAGATGGGACTGCAGGGTGGAGGAGTGAGTACAGACAGTAAGTGCGTGTCCATTAACCCTAGAAATGTGCAAAACCTAAATATCGCAATAAAAACTGGTAATGGAAAAACTCTCAAATATCGAGAAAAAGTTTTTACGCTCTCATGAAGTGGTTTTTCAGATGTGTCGATATAGAAGTATATTGCAACAGTGTAATGGAAACACTTTTTTCACAAATCACCGGACATGACATTGGTGAATTCCTCGTTCAAGATCCTCTCCCAGAAATCCTTTATCCGTGGTCGCTGCCACACATAAGGACTTTGCCTTTGGAATACCACTCGCTCTCTTCGTCTTCAGTTGTAGACTACTGCAACAGCAGCAGTGGCAACCAAGATGACTGTTCCAGCTCGCAAGAGATTTGGAATGTCAATCTTACTTCCGCAAACGAAGTGGAGTCTCGCGGGACGAGATTTTACAAGAATTACGGCTCATACGCAAAACACCTTTTAATGGAAACACCTGCAAGTCGCAATTGTACTTTGTTGAAACTTTAGAAATATCACATTTATTTTGCGCAAAAAATGTAATGGAAACGTGACTACTGAATCTGAAGTTCTGTTGGCAGCAGCAGTGGTGTAGATGAGGTGTACCACTGGGTAGATGGTTAAGCTCCTACATATTCCAGTGGCTTTTGGGCTGATAGGTGGGTATACTGTAAACAACCAGAAAGCGAGGTGCCCCATGTACTTGGGTATACCCTCCACTACACCACTGGTTGACAGGCCCTTCGATTAAGGGTGAAAAAAGGTGGGCTTTGATTTCATTAATAAAGTTATCAGGAGTAGTCTATTTCAAACTTTAAACCAATGGGTGTCAGGGACAGAGAGGAAGCTTAATTTGAAAGGCAGAGTAGTAAGCATAATGCTAAACCAAACAAGCTGAGACAGGTTTCTGACATATTTTAGGATTTCATTTCATTGCAGTAATTTCTCAGGTAAAACAAGCTAATAACTCTTGTCCTTGTTTTCTTTCTTCCCGTCAATGTAGTTTGGCCGTGAGAAAGACCACAGCCAGAGGATGGAGGTGAGGGAAAGGAGATGATAGACATACTTTAGGAGTGGACATGACAAAACTTTAGGCGCCAGAGGTGACAGCCTTGAGTGTGTGTTAAGACCGGAGGAAGAAAGAGACAGAGAAAGAAAAGCAGCAGGTCAAAGACCACAGCTCTGATGCCCAGAGGGGGATCTTCTTACTAAGTGAAGGAGCCCACCACGCATGGTTACTTCTAGCAAATACATCTGCGGAGGAGCCCCTCAGTCAGAGAGACGTTCACAGTTTGTCTCTTGGCTCTCTTGTTTCAGGGAGGTCAACTGTGTGACAGTTGGAGGTGACACCTTTCCAGCGGGAGACTTCTCATCAGGTCATGACAAATTGCACAGCTCCCATTTCACCTGTCTTTCACCACCATCACATCTCAAGGTAGTTGTGTGGTTTGGTCAAGTCTTTTAAGTTCAGGGTTTTTGTTTAATCTTGTACCCAGTAGAACGCCAAGATGTGTAGTAGTGTGCAACTACTACAGCTAGTGCTACTGTGTAGTGGTGGCAGGAGCAGTATAAAGATTTTTTTTTTTTTTTTTTTTACATTTATGCTTATTATATTAGCAATATGTGTAAGTGTATGATATTGTTCCTGATGCAAAACAAAGAATAATCTTCTTGCAACATGTGGAGGCCCTCTTAGTAAGAAGCTTGTCTCAAAAGTTCTAAACAAATACCAGATGTTGACTTTCAGTAACTCAGAAAACAACACCACCATATATGGATTAAAACTGACATACTATAACGGCCTTTTCCAAATATTTACATCACTGTAATAATACTTTTTTTTTTTTTTTTTACAATGTATTATTCCTGCATTGATCTCATATAGTGTAGCAGTATGTGATTTACCATTTCTGGACTTACATTACGCTATACATAAAATCTATTGATTGATACAGTAGAGGAAACTCTCATTAACTTCTCAAAGTAATATTGACCCATGTGTGTTTAGACAAAATGGTCTCAGAAGCTAAAATGTAATTTTTAAAAACCATGAGTCAAACATTGTTTTCCTTAATAGATTTACTGCTAAAAACTTTCACAACCACGTACCAAACTTTCCCTGTTGGATTCATCACATCAGATTTGACTACCGGAGGTTAATAGAGGACATGATGAATCACTGAATGATGCACTACTTTCTCTTGCATGTGACATGCCTGCACATGTGCTGACTTGAGTGAGTGAGTGTGTGTGAAATAATGTCTTTGTGTGCATGTTTGTGTGTGTGCATGATAGAACCTCAGTAAGACATGAGAGAGAGCAAAAGACAGAGAAACACACAGACACACAAACACTGCCAGCCAAAGCCAAGAAAGTGTGTGTACTCACGGTCCATGTGGCCGACTTGGCGGTGCTAGACTGCTGGAAGGACACCTGGAAAGTGTGCACTCCGGGGTAGTCGGTGCAGGAGGGGATGGCCGGGGCAGGCGACAGGCCCTCAAAGGTAGAGTTGGGCTGGGAGTAGGGCGAGGGGGTGGGCACGGCCGATGAGGAGGCGTTCTCGGAGCTGTAGGGGCTGGCGGACGTCGCACGGCTCCCCAGGCTCTCCATGCTGCTGCTCAGCAGGTTGTATTGGGACTGGGGAGAAAAGAAGAGGGAAGAGAATGAGGGAGGCAAAGGGGGAGGGAGGAGAGAGGCGGAGGGAGGGCACAGGTAGAGGTGCCGGAGAGACAGGGGCTTGGAGGCTTAAAGGGAGGTCAGATTACAGGCAGTTACAGGTAGTGTGTGTGATGCTGCATGTGTGTGGGATGAGTTCATGTGTAAGTGTCCACGATCAACGCAGAGCACTTTTTGTGGGATGACTGAGATTTGGTGATAAAATCATGAGTACAAAGACACAAACTTTGGTGTGTGTGTGTGTGTGTGTGTGTGTGATTATAAATGAGTGATGCAGTGATTGCAGTGAGGTCCCCTCAGTAGCCTCCTTGGGGCTATGTGAGATGAGCTGTAAAACACAAGTGTAATCTGCCTAATTGTCTGCCATTCCCCCTCCTGTCCTCTTTGCTGTGTTTGAGAAGAGGGAAGATTTGTTGCACTGATGTGTGCGTGGTGACACACTTGTCAAAGTTAACGCACTCTGTGAGGCCCATATATCGCTGAACACACACAGAAGCTACTGTAGAAGGAAAACTGCTGTTTTGTTTCTAGATCATCCATGACATGTTGATTCCCCATCACACTACTTCAACAAAAACACAGAGAAGTCAAAGGCACAAACAGCCAGCTACAGTACTGTGAGCCCTCCTGCTCACCTTCTACTCACCAACATCAGACCATTACTTTATTTGAACATCAGTGAATCTTTTATCCAACCAGTTTAACATCAGATCATTCAGATTCAACCAGACAAACCAACCACCATGTAATGACATTAAAACTTAAGCAATCTAGATCATTACTTTAAAAAGATATTCTCATATTTATCTCTGCTGCCTGTACTGTATGCGTGTAAGATACCTGACACTGATGGCAGGCTCACACTGAAATAGCCACACATACACACCCACACACACACACAATTATGACAAATGACAAAAAATAAATAAAAATAAAAAAAATAATTTTTACCTTCTTTTTCACGTAGTACATCCTCTAGTGCTTTAGTCTCATTTGTCAACTCTTCAGTCAGAAACGTCCAAACACAGCAAAGCAAAGAGAGCGCGGGACCATAGCCTAACCAGAGAGTTCAAGTGAGGTGTGCATCAGTGGACACTCTCACACACACAGACACATGCACAGCCAGGACAGGGAGAAAGGTGAGGACCGGCGTGGAGAGAGAGAAACGATAGACTGAGACGAGGGGAGAGAAGGAGAGAAGGAAAGAGGGATGGGAACCCAAAAAATGGTACAACGTTCTAATTATGGCAAGCCCGGACATAGACGGCAATGCCGGGGCACATGTACACACACGCTCCAAAACACCTTGTGAAGGCCTGCACTAAGTAAACACTGTCTGGTCTGACAGAGAGCGGGAGAGAGAGAGAGAGAGAGAGAGACAGCAAGAGAGAGGCAAGACGGAAAACACATGAAAGAACAAGAGTTCAAGGGTCAGACCCCCACCCCCCACCCAGTATTGTATATCAATACAACATTTAATCAGCAGTCAGGGCGGAATGTTTTTTAAAACAGGGCTCTTCAACACTTTGGACGCCTTGAAATAAATCATCAATACTGGATGGAAATGATCTGAATCAAAGGTTTATACTCTATTGGTGTTTAAGGGGATTCAGATACCCATATTTAATTTGTACCCAAAAAATGTAACCTATAAGAAAAAATGATTTGCTCAAACTTTATCAAAGAGGATGAACAGTTTTGAAATGGCCTCTGCAGCTCAGACTGAAAGTAAAAGGATTGCTTAATCTCAGTTTCTCAGGATATTTAACTAAAAGTCAGCTACCTGATTGTCTGAAAAAAAATAAACCCTCACAAAAACAGCAACAATCACTCACAAAGAATTTGTGCATTTGAATTTTTGCACTTGGACAAGATAGAGTACAACATATTACACAAGTATGAAATCAGTGATTACATGAAATCCCCCACCCCCCCAATATACAGCATCACTTCACCTCAGCTCTGCGTGCTTTGAAACTACACCACTGGCTGCTAGAGACACCAAAACCGAGACAAAGTTACACAAGGATATGTAAACTCAGTGCCATGGATCATCAGATGAAAGCAAAGGGACAGGTCAATGTACTAGACTTAATGCAAACTGTGTAGGTTAAATGAGGATGCACTCATGCGTGGGTGTTTGGATCTATACAATGACTCTAACTCGGGTGCATGCAGCACAAAAAATCATGTAGGACACAGCTGGGTTTAAAACAACTAATGCCTAATTTGACTGCATTAGAAGTTAGTATGTGAGAACTTCTTTGCCTTTCTGTGTCATATTTACGGGCTTTTTAGTGGTGGTTTGGATTAAAAAAGGACTCTGAAGATGCTTTTTTCACTCTTTGCTGATATTTTGAAGACAAACAATCAATAGATGAATTCAAGGTGCAATATATGACATTCAGAGTCTGCACACGGCTCTCACCTCAGGGGTCACAGGTAAACATGGAGGTGGCTGAGCCAAAATGTGCTAGTTGCTAACTGTGCTAACAGGACTAAATGTGCTACCAACAGCAACAATGCTGACAGAGCTAACAGCAGTACGGTGCCAAGTAGCTAGCCAGTGTGATATAAACACAGAGACTCACATGCACTAGTGGCCAGCCTGGCTGCCAAAACAAAGGACAGCCATTACGACACTATATCTTCACATCGCAAAAAGTAGCCTGTTCTCACTCCCAACTCGTCTTGATGCACAGAGGTACCTTTTGTGGTGGCATGATACACGCCACACGCGTCTGTTTGAGAGGCAGCAGTTAACAACCCAAGTTGTCAAATAATGCTGCTTTGTCAGTGGGTGTTGGTGTCAGACATGGGCGCAGAGAGACACCCTTTGCAATGGTATGATTCACCCTGCTCGGCAGCCGTGTGTAACACTGCCAGTGGGGGTTGGGGGAAGTGGGAGGGTCAAACAAAGTCAGGACTTTCACCCAGGAAGCCGCTGTTTGCTTCCTGTGTGAATTTTAAGCCAAACCATGATGTTTTTTTCCTAAACCTAACCCTGTGCTTTTGTTGCCTACACCTAAGAAAAATCAACTTGACCAGTAAGTGTTTTACTTTCTTTGTAAGTTTTATTTTTTAAAAGACTGTATGCATGTAACAAGCAGAAACTGAACATTTCCTGTGAAAATTAAAGTGTATTTTAAAAATGTAAAATAGCGGAAATGGACAGCCCATCTGTGAACGTCCAAAACGTATGCAGGAGGGTAGCATGTCAGATTCTGACATGTATGTCCACTGACAAAACAGCGGAATTTCACGAGTTGGGATGAGAACGTGTTGTAAATAGTTGTTTGCTGCTATATTAATGCTCTAAATGTCATATACAGCACCCTATGGTAGTGGCAGTCTTAATCAATTGTCTTAAATGTCTAATATCTGGCAGTGGAAAGTAGGGCCACTATACAACTACCTGAGATACAAATGTGTTCACCCTCATGAGATATATTAAAATGAGAATGTAGGCTGATGTGCCCTAATGTTTGCTTTCTCCCTATAGGTGTATAAAAAAAGTAATTCTGTCCTTTAATGTCTGACTGTTTACTAACTTTGAAAGCCTCCTCTAACAGGTATTGTCAAAGGGGCTTTACAGGCACAAGGTGAGCCCAGGTGTATGTGTCAACAACAAAAAAACACTTGACACACACACATGCAAATGTGCACACACACACACACTGTCACACAGACCCATGTGCTCACAGGTGTGCTTAGACCTAATACCTGAACTCGATCCGCAACAAGTTGCAACAGAGCTAAAACCTCAGCCGCCACTGTGTGAGCAAGTGTGTGTGTTCACTGTGTGTGTGTCAGCGTTAAAGCTTCCCACCCAGCAGCATCTGATGTCCCCTACGGGCAGCCATCCTGGTAGCTGTCACTCAAAGCCGATCTTTAACGGCTCAAAACATTTAGAAACGTAGATAAGCCAGCCACAACAACCCTCACTTGTCAAGATGAGTGAAACATAATAGACTGAGTATAAGAAGAATATCATCCTGCTAATGACCTCTGTTTACAGCCACTCATTAAACAGTTAACAACAGGCACTCAGACGCTGTCATATGGCTCCCTGCTGACATAAGGAAGCAACATGACCAAAATGAAAACTTAGGCCACATAAATGAATGACATGGCACCATGTGAAAACTGCAGCATGTCTAAACTACACCAGCTATGTTAAATGGAGGTGAGGATGAGAGGAGGTAAAATGTGGAGGGATGTGTGAGAAGGTTGCCCCCTGTTGGGGATATTATGCAAAGTGCAGCCTGGCATTCATTGTCAAGAGGTCCACAGTCACACCGACCTACAGAACAGGGGTGTCAAACTCATTTTAGTTCTGGTTCCACATACATGCCAATTTGATCTCAAGTGGGTCAAACCAGTAAAACCATTGCATAATAACCTGAGAATAACAAAGCCTTTAAATGTTTCCCTCTCTTTTAGTGTAAAGGTGCTGAGAGGTACTGTAAGCATACCAAGCACACTTCTCACTTACCTCTGTGAAGAAATAGCAACTGGTTCATTTGGACAAATAGGAAAAGCAGTATGTTTAATTGAAAATATGGAATTAATGACTTCTCTGCAATTTTTACACTTGGCAAAGTCAATGAGTGGGCAAGATTGGACCCTTTGGTGGGCCAGTTCTGGCCCCCAGGCCATATGTTTGACACCCCTGCTATAGAATGTAGATACATGTATTTATAAATTTAACATAAACATCTTTACAGTTTTCAGTTCCTCAATATTTAACAATCAATGGCAGAAGAAAATGAAGCAAAGTTAAAACACAGCCAGCCATTGCATCATGTCAATCCATCAAAATGTGTCTCAGAGGTGTGAGTCACCATCCATCTTCCCAAATTAATTCAACTTGTAAATGTAAGGGTTATCAAACTGGTCCCATTATAACAGGATACGTATATAATCGTAATGGCCATGGCGGCTTACGCATACATGTAAAACTCCAATATAACAAAGGGCCGGTTTCAAATATCAACTCATTCTCAAACAGCATCCGTTTAACTGCCTGAACCAAAGTACTACTAGAACCTCTGCGCTCCATAACACAAACTACAACAATCTCCACTACCACACCAGTAAGACGTAAATGTTCAAACATTTAAAAAAAAAAAAAAAAAAAAAAAAAAAAGGTCTGAATATGCCAGAACACAATTTACTCCGGTCTACTTACCACGCCACACAGCATCTTAGGCTCCTGGAAGATAAGATGAGCTGCTTCTGTGATGTCTCTGTGACCCGGCTCTCATTGGACTCACACTCTGCTGTGATCAAGTGTGGCTGTAACAGTCAATGTCTCCACAACCAGCGGAGCCCTCTGTGGAGCGGGACATGATGGAGGATGCAGGAGACGTCCTCCCTCTCTCCTCCACTTGTTTCCCTTGCCTGACTGGGCCTTCTCAACTTGCCTTGCATAGGTGCCTAACAACAAATCCTCGCTCCGCCCCCTTATTTTTGTCATGACTATTCATTAACCGGTCAGGCAGGCCCAGGCTTGCCCACTTAAAGATTAGATCCAACCAATATTCCAGATCAGAAGGGGATGGAGACACAGGCGTGTTTGGGAGTGACTTCTGATGTCACGTTTGGAAGACAGAGATGGACGGAGTGAACAAATTTACAGGATGAACTGTGCTTATCGGTGTGATCCTGCGAAAACCTGACCTTCCACTCTCAAAAACTTGCTATTGAATTTATTTCCGGAAAAGTCACGGTGGTTAAGATGAAAACTGGGCTGTTGTTGGTCTTCATTCATAAAAAGCTGGCATACTTTCTTTGGCTGCGAGGTTTCAATTCAGGAACACAAATATTAAGATGCATACACCTGTAAACATATGTGCATGTTTGGTAATGCACACAGACACACCCCAGCCTACAGATGGCTTTACAGTGGAGCAGCAAGGGGTCCTGGCTTGGGGTTTAATTAGCCCTCCCCCAACACACACATACACACACACACACACACACACCACAGTCCCTACAGGCCACTCAGCAGACAGAGAGGGAAAAGGCTGCAGAGAAGAGGGAAACTACTTAGGAGGGAATCTCCTCAACACTGGAGGGAAAAAGTCCAAAGAAACAAACAAAATGGGAAAAGATCTTTAGCTGTGTATATGTGTGTGTGTGCCTGTGTGTGTGTGTGTGTGTGTGTGTGTGCTCACAAAGAAACTATCAGATCACACACAGAGGAGGAAAACACCCTTCAAAGCAAAAGCAAAATATTGACCACAAAAATACAAACTGAAGTGCAAAGGGAGCTCATGTTCCTACCATCACATTGTCGTTCATGTCCCTCATTTGGTAGACGTCCATTGAGACCTCTGCAGCGCTGCGGTGGCTCCCCGGGGTGCTGGTAGAGGGCACTGGGCGCTCACCTGCCTGGCTGCCTGGGGGGAGCTCAAAGTAGGTGCTGTCTGGCTCCCTGTGAACACAAGACACCATGGATGCAAGTTGACTGACAGAGGGATGAGCTTTTAAGAAAAAAAAATTGCATAGCACAATCATGGCATGTGACCAAGTACCTGATGTGCAAAGAAACAAACAAACAAACAAAGACTTATTAAATTATTAGAATAGTTTTTTTAGGAAGGTAAATATACAGTTAGGTAAAGTTATTCCTGGATCTTTTTTTGTTGTTCAAAAACAATTACAAAAAGGACTGCTTGTTTTATTACAGGAAAAAAATCAGGTATTTCAAAGGAATACTTATAAAATTAAGGGAAGGCCTTAAGCAGATTTTTTACAAAACACTGGAAATCCTGTTGGACATCTAAAATGTAAAAAAAAAAAAATACAACTACTGTATAACTACAGCTACTTATTTGATTTTTAGACTCATTTTATCAATGTAAAATGCAGTGAGACATCTTTCCCTGAAGGTTCGGCACGACATTAAAGAATTGGAAGCACCTTTGTTGGAAAAAATGAAAATATTCATTACAAGATTTGCAGAAAAATGCACAGAAAGCAAAAGATACATGGCTGAAAATCCAGATATTAAGTTGTCTTTGACCCTGTGCTTTTGATCGTGTCAGCACACCAATAACTCTGATAAATATATGGATTTTTTAATGTTTTACAGCATAAAACAGAACATCGCGTCCCCTTACATGATTTATAGACTGTTAATATTTTAAAAATAAAGCAAATATGGTTAAATGTTAAATTAGGGATAATCATTTCATAATTTACTTATAAAGTAGGTGATGACAAGATCATGGTTGTAATTATTGCCTGATGCATTTCACATTTTTTAATTAAACCATTACGTCATTTGGAAAATATGTTCATTGGACAGAGAGTAAAACAATCGTCAGCAGTTGTTGTTGACACTCACAGGGAGCTCCACAGGTGCTCGAAGGTGCCTCCTTCCTCAGTGACAGTGGACTGGGACATCTTAGAGGATGGGTAGTCTGGTGAGGGGCAGATCACTCTGCAGTGCGCGCGCGCGCGCACACACACACACACACACACACACACACACACACACACACACACATTAAACTACTTAGAATGAAAAAAAAGTGAAATATGTTATAAAGACTTTAACCATATCAAAAAGCTGCAAGTTGAAGCAAATTACTCGTTGCTCATTTTATTATTTCTTTTAAAAAAAAACCACGCACATAACGCATACACACTGGTATATCCAGGTGTGATCATCACACCAATGTATAGTCCCAGTGAGGTGGCGCAGGGTGTCATGGGGCCCGGGCGTGCCCAGACCTGCCTGCCTCATCACCCTCTCAATCCGAGGGGAAGCTTCCTGTGAGCATCACCTCCTCCGCCTCTGTCTCAAAATAACACAGCCTGCACTGCAACCTTAAAATGTGTTCAAGCTGCGGAGCACAAAGACGTTATGTGCATTGTTTATCTTGTGGTTGTCTAAAGCAGTAGGTCTGCGCACTTAATCGCACAATGAGAGAAAACGGTGGGGTCTCATTTTGGCAGAGCAGATGATAAAGACATTATCGTCAAAGTTTGGAAATGTACCTTCAGTGGGGGACATCCGGGCCTCTTTGCAAAGGTTTGAGTCAAAATACATATAAAATAAATCCGTGTTTCATGACCACAGATAGAAAATCAAACGGGCGGCAGGCCCGTTGCGCAAAGCAGATCAAGGGACTCATCCATCCAGCAGTCTGATGTGTCAACGATCACAAAAAACAGAAAGTCCTGTCGGGCATTGGAGTTTACTTGGCTATATTCACAGTTGCGCAGCGTCGTATCTCCTTAGTAACCTGAAAGACTACTCAAGTAAAAGTGTGGCAAAGGTGCAGGGCTTTATTGCGCGCTGCGGCGAATCATAAATGCAAACCTTTCCTTTGGAATCAGTGACTAATTTGGCTGCACGTGTGAACTTTTCTCTGAATTAGTTGTTTCGTAAAAGTGACCCTGTCAATTTAAAATATTATTTTGTACAGTAACCTTATCTCTGTGTATTTATGTAACAGGTTTTTTTCAGTTCAGTCTGTACTGAATCGATTGAAGATATGCAGCTCAGTAAACATCTGAGGTGATGTCATAATTATTGAACAAAGGCTGTTTTGTTTTTCAAACTGATCTTGTGGCTGATCCGATGATCAATGATCCAATTTACGTGACATAAAAACAAGATAGGACATACATGTTAAGGAGGCCTGCAGCACGCTTACGCATGCAGATACGTAGGCTATATAATTTGGGCCTGGAGCTCTGCATGCAGCATCTGTGTGGCTGCAGGTTCCCGCTGCTCCCGAGGTGGCTGCCGCCGAAGAAACAAGCTCCCATTCCCAGTTTGTCCCTCAGTACTGCCTGTTCAGATCCCAGAGCAGCTCGTGTGTTGCGCAGGGGATCTGACGTAGCGTCAATGCAGGACGAGCAGAGGGAAGACAACGGGTTGGCCTCAGAGCTCTGCTCCGCACTTTGAACAGTTTAATTGGGATTCCACCTGGACACAGACTTTTTCACTTAGACTGCACCTCAGGGAAGTCTGCTTCTCTTACCGTGACCAGAGATGATCAGAGCTAACATTCTGAAGGCTTACACTTGTTATTTATTACTTATGATTACTTATGATACACTACACAGAACAGATGGTTTGCCTTTTTAATAAGGGTGGGAAAATATTAATACATGTTCCCACTATAAGAAAACATATAGGCCTATTATTGCATCATAGCACCAAAACCAAACACTATCTTTACTTCAAAAAGTGAGGGTTTTTTTTTTTTTTTTTCAAGAAAGGTTACTTGAAGCACCTTCAATGTAACTGTAAGTTCTTTGAATATCTAAATAAATATTTGGGTAACCTCAGCACCTCCAATATATTTTAATTTCCTTGGTACCCCATTGGATATTTGAGGCAGGTTTGGTTTTTACAGTGTAAACGCGTGAAAGTATTTCATTACGCATGCACTGACAAAAAAAGATTTCTCTTTGATATCAAATTATCAACACTTGCCCTCTGCTCTTTTAATATTTCGCACAAAGAAGCCAAACACGCCTTTGCTATTTCTGTAAAGCACGGCCTCTGCTGGTTCTTTGCCTTCATGTCACACCATCTTTTAAAGTTTGACATTGTGCTTCGCTGATATTCACCTGTTTCTTTGTGTCTCCACTCCCGGGTTACGGCACCCATGACAACAACACACACACACATACACACACATACACTGCCTTCCCAAGGGCCATTTTATGCAAGAAAACAGAGTCCCAATTGAGATGAAATTAATTTAAAAATTGTTGTAGATTCGATCCTCCACAACCCCAAGTGGAATATTTAATGTGCCATAAGAGGATTCAATAAGAGGTTGTCATTGCTGTCTGTGAAATGTGTGAAGCATCATTTTGCTTCTATCTAAAACACTGCCATTTATTGATTAATAAAAACATAAATTAAGTAATAATATGACTATAAAATGCTCTTTTGTGAATAGCAGGCTATTTAATAAATGAATGGCACTGAGCCACATATGGAAAAGATAAACAGCCTTTCGATTTTCCCTCCCCAAACATTTCATTTAAAAAAAAAAAAAATCAAATGGGGCTAGTAATATTAAACATGTGCACATGGGATTCTCTGTAAGGCCTGCATTTTTTATTTTTGTTTGGACAAGATATTTTTATTAGTAGGCCTATTTTTTAAACTGTTCTGACACTGCATGACGCAGACCCTAACAAACCATTAGCCTACCCATACCACGATCAGCTGCAAAATCCCATCAGCAAAATAACCAGAAAGATTTTATAGGCTACTAAGACACTTTTTTAATAATCGGAGTCTTATTCAGCCTTAGCAAATTCTCAAGACAGCTGGGCCTATCTTGTCAACAGCCTCGTTTTTCTATTTTCCCTTATTTTTTTTGCCACATTTTGCAAAATAAGAAATATCGGCAAAAAGATAAAAAATGAAGCAGATTATACACAAAACAAAACATATGACATAAATAGGCATATCTAAATCACTACTTATAGGCCATTACAGTACTAAAATAAATCAACGTACCTGAAGGTTATTATTACTCCAGTCCAAACACCCAAGAATTATGTTGCGCCGAGCACCCGCCTGTTTATTATCGAACATGCCAAGAGAGTGACCCTCCATAAAACAACAGCAGCAACAAAAAACTGAAAAATCGACCGACTTTACAGTATGATAACAGCGACTGGAGATGATTGACTTTTCGGAGAATTAACTGTGAGAAAACAGGCTGAAAACTGATTTGCATGCTGTTCAGGGAAGCGTGAGCTTTGCTGAGGGAGACCAAGGAGGAGGTGAAGCGTCTTTTGCGCTGGGAGAGGAAGGGAGGCGGTAGCGCGGTTTGGGCGCACATAAGCGGGAAACCTTTTCCAGCTGGTGGGGGATATAAAAAGTAGTTTTATTGTTCCGCACTAAAAGGAGGGTTCATGTGAATAAAACATAACCCACAAATTATAAATGATTAATGATTAAAGTGTAAAATATGATAAGGTGAGAGAAACCTATAGAAATATTCCACATCTGTCATCTTACAAAATGATAGTCTGTAAGAAAAAAAAATACTGTTGCCTATACGACTATATTAATTTGGTATACACGCGCTCAAACACACGCACACGTTGACACCATTGACACATAAAACAAGCGAGAACACAATAATGAACTTCATTTCCCAGAAGGCAAAAGCAGCCGGCAGGCGGATTCTGATTGGACGGCACCGGCAAGTCGTCATCGGCTCATACAAACAAACTAGCAACAGTTAGATCCACAGTCCGTGTCCCGAAGACAATCATGCGAAGAAAAAAACTTTTCTAGACCACTCGTGGGACGTTTCGCTTCACTGAATTACTTGACGACAGCAACACAATTACCATTAGAGGTGAGTTTTACCAATGAGGGGGAAGTTAGTGACGGTTAGCCACCTGCTAAGTTGCTATCAACGTTACATGCTAACGTTAGAACTGAATGAGTCCAGTGACAGCCGACAGCTAACTTTACCATTTGCATGTAAGCTGGTGCTCTCCTCTGTCTCCACCAGCTCGGATATTATGTAAAATACATCGATAGCAAGACGATGGCATGGCAGTGAAGTCGTGATTTAGACTGGGTTTATGTGTGGCTTCATTTTGCTTTAGCTACACTAGAATTGCGAGCCAGCTAGCTAGGCTAACTTAGCTACCTGTAGCTCAGTTCTTTCTATCGAGGCTGTGCCCTGAAACGGACGTTATTCGTTTTACACAGTGCTTCTTCCACATAATGACTCGTCTTGCATGAGAGAAGAACTGTTTATCTGTGTATGTAATGTGTATGTTTACTGTGTGAAGCACGTTTATGTATTGGACTTACGGCGCCATCATGTGTTTACATGTCGAAACTACACCAGTTGATTTGAGTAGGCTGTCAGGCAAAACTGTCCATCTCCCATGCTGTTAGATGTTTGAAGAAACTCACTTGGGCGGTTTAAAAAAAAAAAGGGCATGTCATGTAACTGTAATTTCCTCCTGTGTAGGAACAAAAGATGAATTTCTCTGAGGTTTTCAAGCAGTCCAACCAACTCTGCAAAGTTTCACCAGATGGAAAATATTTGGTAAGTGTTTTTCTTTTTTTAACAATATTTGCAAATGTGTAGTTTTTGCAGTGCCTGTAGTAAAATGCAGTGAAAATAATACTTTTGCCTCTGATTTCATTCTCATGGTTGGGATGCTACTTAGTTACACACAGATATAAGTGACGTGTGTTAGAAGTTGTATTCTTTCTGACCTGTTTATTGGGCTGTACTTGTCAGGCTACCTGTGTGCAGTACAGGCTGGTGGTGCGAGACGTGTGCACCCTACAGATTCTGCAGCTCTACACCTGCCTAGACCAGATATCCCACATGGACTGGTCTTCTGACTCTCTGTTTGTCCTCTGTGCTATGTACAAGAGAGGACTGGTACAGGTAGGTTATCAGAAAGGGACAGTAATGTAAGTATGTATGTAAATGCCTGGTGGTCAGTCACATACTTGGTAGGTTGCAGTCGATGTTACTGGTGATAAAGGTAATAAATTGTAAGCTTTTGATGAAAGCAAATGTTTTAATCTTGTTCTTTTTCGAGTGTCACAATAACCATTGATCAGACCGTATAAGTTATATGAAGGCATCCCTTTAGGCTCCCTGTGGTAGTCATTTGCCATTAATCTTGGTGTTGTTTTTTGACACTAGTATGTATTAAATAATAATTGGTCTAATAAATCATGGAGAGAGGAATCAACAACTAAAATGGTTTGTCGTCACAGCCTTAAAAAAACTTTATTATACACTATTGTCGAAGTAGAACAATATAAGTAACGTGTTATATGGTAAAGCCTGTTTCTGGCAGACATTTTCAAAAAGTTCTATGTCAGAGAATTATAAAGGATTACTTCACCCACAAAATGACAATTTTTACATCAATAACTCACCCGTGTTACGATGAATTCATGGAGAAAACTTTGTTTTTCTTGCATGCTATGAACGAAGAATCCAAAAATGAAGAACATTGTTGATGAATTGTAGTAAAAGGGGGCAACGTTTATCACCATCAAAACTATATAGGAAAAAACATCTCTGTACAAACTCACACAACTTGTGCTGTATAATCCAAGTCTCATTTATCCAGTCGGCTGTTTAATACTTCCCATTCATATGCGTTTTCACCAAAACTTAACTATTTTGAACATTTCTACATGAACAGTCTCACGCATGGACGGGTAGGGCACCTGAGAAAGCCCGTGCATTTGAACTCTGCTCATTGGAATGCACGAGCAGAGTTCAAACAAACAGACTTGCTCAGACGCGCTGCTTGTATGTGGAAGTGTTAAAATCATAAGGTTTTAGTGGAAATGCATGTGTTTGTGAAGAACTGAGCATATGACTGGTTAATAGAGACTTGGATTATACTGCACGAGTTGTGTGAGAGTTTGTAAGCATATGTTTTATATAGATATATGTTTTATACAGTACAAGGCAAAAGTTTGGACACACCTTCTCATTCAATGCGTTTTCTTTATTTTCATGACTATTTACATTGTAGATTCTCACTGAAGGCATCAAAACTATGAATGAACACATGTGGAGTTATGTACTTAACAAAAAAAGATGAAATAACTGAAAACATGTTTTATATTCTAGTTTCTTCAAAATAGCCACCCTTTGCTCTGATTACTGCTTTGCACACTCTTGGCATTCTCTCCATGAGCTTCAAGAGGTAGTCACCTGAAATGGTTTCCACTTCACAGGTGTGCCTTATCAGGGTTAATTAGTGGAATTTCTTGCTTTATCAATGGGGTTGGGACCATCAGTTGTGTTGTGCAGAAGTCAGGTTAATACACAGCCGACAGCCCTATTGGACAACTGTTAAAATTCATATTATGGCAAGAACCAATCAGCTAACTAAAGAAAAACGAGTGGCCATCATTACTTTAAGAAATGAAGGTCAGTCAGTCCGGAAAATTGCAAAAACTTTAAATGTGTCCCCAAGTGGAGTCGCAAAAACCATCAAGCGCTACAA